CCCGAGTCGAAATTTTGGCCGTATGTTGAACCCTTAATTCTATTATGTAGTAGGACCTAGGACAGTAGAAGAGGTTGAACTGCAAGTACAAAATTGACTCCTACTTTAAAACTGATAGTGTCGGAAATTTCGACTTTTGCCAATTTAGCCAATTAAAGTGGGTCCTTTTAAGTAGGAGCAAAAGTCGAAATTTCCGACACTAAAGTCTTAAAGTAGGAGTGAATTTTGTACTTGCAGTTCGACCTCTTTTACTGTCTTAGGTCCTACTATAGAATAGAATTAAAGGTTCAACATAGAGACAAAATTTCGACTCGGGTTGAGCTGTTTCTGTATTCGCTTCTAATAATAACGTACTTCTTATTAAGTTAAAAATTCATATGTGAAAATCATTGACGAGTGTTGTTTTACTTCACATCAAAGTGTTGGTCGTGTGACACTCGCGTTCCGAAAAATGTAGAATTTTAACGAACGTTTCTTTTGAGAAAATTGATTCAGACTTAACTGTCTCGGCAAAGCTGTAACAACGAAAATTTCTAATTGTTACCACGACTGTACGAGCTTAAGTTTGCGAAGCCACACGACTTACTCGGAGAATTGGAGCGACGTGTTAAAGCGATATCGGTCGTTCGCGTTCGCCACGTTATGCGGTCTCGTCTAAGGCGCGTTATCGCGTGCGTACACTCACAATCAGTCATGCGAACGGTGTCTTTTTCAGCTCTCTTTCAGGTGGAACCAGAAAAGAGCCGCTCCACCGCGCGACAAGACGCAAAAGTCGCTCGGATTACGCGAGACTCGATCGTTTCAACCGCGCGGACCAGCTTGGGATCGGTACGAGTTTCGTTACGACAGTCGAAATTAGCGATTTTAGTTCCGTAAATTCCATGGCGCCGGTTAACCGGCGTGATTAGTCGATCGTAGCCTGCCGTAAATGTCACTTCGATTTGCGGAAGAGTCGCGGAACTCGTTTTCCTTATCCGCCAACACTCACCTGGGTACTTTTACTTCGTGCACCTGCGTGAACTTTTCTGTGGATTTATCTATCAGATTTAGTCCACAGGCCAACTTAGTGCAACAGATTTAATCCACAAATGAACGAATAAAATTGTAATAACAGTCTGCTACATTGTAATATTATATTTATATATAATAACCGGTTTCATGCCTTTTTCGCGATTACACTGCAAAACTTGCTAGAGGTAATAAGGGAATTAATCATCGCGAAAAGAGAGACTTTTTGTAAAAGCAAGTTTTTTACATAACTTTCTATAAGCAGCTATAAAACATTTTACTTAATAAATTTGCTTTTTCTAAATTTCTTATAAAACGTTTCGTGATCATAAGTAAACGATTTGTAGCCGGCTTCGTCGGCGCGCGTTATTTATACATTCTTCAACCGAGTTAGACACGTCAACTTGGCGATTATCATTCGAAGAACATTGCAATTATTCGTCGTTTCCTTCATGGCTTCCTTCGACTAACGAATCGGCTAATCAAAAATCTATCCTTCGAATAACAATGATGATTCATTCGTCGGGAAGAAACGTTACGTTCCAAGATTCACTGTGATTCGTTCGCACTTTTGATTGCTCACTTATCGTTTATGTAATTAATAACTGAGTCTTTTTCGCCATAAATTATTTCGACTCGAAAGAATTGATTGGATATTAAAAAATTTCTCATTTCATAATCAATCAGATTCTGGAATGTCAGCATTTGCTGCCTTTTTAATTATTTATATATTTTGTATAAATTTTAAAATCCTCCTCGAATTACGCAATATAATAGTCTTGGCATTTTCATATATTATATACAACTTTCAAATCAAGCATTTTCCTTTAAATTTTCAAATGCTATCGTGAAGTGCGACAATGAAAGATTTTTCTTCGAATGTCTGTTTTAGACATACCTACATATGGTATGCAGTAAATCATAAACATTTCGATTGCTCTCGCGACCAACATCGTTGTTAGTAATGACACGTTAGTGTGAAGATCTGAAGAAAGGAAAAGTCGAACGGCTTAAAAAGTGGACTTGAAAGCTGCTGATCGCCATTTAACAGCGAGTTCCCAATGGCGAAAGTTGAAACTTCAACTTCGGCGACTTGACACTTCGAAGGTGATAATTTTCTGTCAAAGACTCGAAGACTTACAGATAGGAACTATCTGCAGTACGCGTTAATGCTTAATTGATTAATGTTAAATGCCAGTATTATATCGCAATTTATCCTTCAATTAGTAAAGAATTTTTTGGTCAAGTCGAAGCTAAGTTGTCCAAGTTGAAGTTTCAACTTTCGCTACCAAGAGATTGTTACTATATGGCGGTCAAGTCCCTTGATCTAGTTTCTAAGTCGTTTCTTCTGTTTCTTTAAGTAGGCATATTAGCATGTTATTACCACTGCGACTAGCCGCAAAAGCTATCGGAATACGTTTACGATTTACAACAAGAAAGACTTTTAAAGAAACATCTTTTTCCTCGAAGTCATATTCGATATGAAGCCTTTCAAACCGGAATGAAGGTCCGTGAAAGCGGCGAAGCAGCGTTAGTTGCTAATATATAATTAAGTGTTTACATCAATATAAAATTGTCCTAGAGAATAAAATAAAATTTGAAAGATATTTATTAACACGATAAAAATAGAATGACTTGAATAACTATTTGTGCAAACCAATTTGCATTTATCCAAAAAATTTACATCTTTCCTCGATTAAAATAGAAAGTTATGCGTCTAAACCTTTTTCTGTTAGAAAAATTAATTGTGTTGTATCAAATAATATTAGAATAAAGAATTCTGTGGTTTAAATCACTTTTTTTTTTCGTAACTTGAAGTGCCAAGGAAAGTTAGCATCTGATATTTTCATTTTTTTTCTAGTCAAATCAGTCGAACTATTTTTTTAATCTATCGGAAACTGTAGAATTTGGAAAGCAAACGAAACTGTTAATAAAATTTTCGACTTTTGAAAATGAAATGTCCACTGTGCAATGGTACCGTCACGGTACAGCGTGTACAATCTATCGAGTTCTCGCTGAACTACGTGCACACGTATCACAGCTTGTCGAATTTTTAAAACGGTAAGAGGTAAATATCTTTCTTCTAACGACGTAAGATACGCGATATCATATCAACTATTTTTAAATAACAAATTAGAAATAGCGATAAAATATCACGAAGGATTACACTGATAATACGTTATTGCGATATAATTTTTTTTTCTATTATTGATACATTTGGCTGCATTATGTAAGAAACTTCCGCAAATTTCCAATCTCTAAATACGATCAGATACTTGTTACACGTCCATACTATCGCAGTAAAATCGATTCAATTATATACTTTTATCACGTTTACTACGACACGCGTAATCTATCGAATTGATGAAATCGAGGAATTTTATTCGAGCACAAATTCTTTTGGCGAATAGAAAAAGACGGGAAATTTTCCCTACTCAGTGAACCGTGAAGATTTCTCTATTTGCGATGTCAAGATCACCGATTTTCGGGGTGTCCGTCGATAAGGAATTCGCAACCCAGTTTCGCCGCGACTGACGAGCTGTCGCCGTTTTCATTTTAACGGTATCGGCTCGTCGTGGGAAAAAAATTGCGCAGAACAAGCCAAGTGAGGACGCCACGATAATTACGAGTGCCGGTAGTGTCTTTTACGTAATCGCGCGCCGTCAAGATGTCGCGAACGCGGGTTTAATGATAAAAGTGCCTGGAGAACGACGACCGGTGGAGCGGAGCGGCGCGCATTGTCTTCGTCGGGCAGGCATTATCGCAGACAGCAGTTAATAACAGGTGTACGTCATCGTGGTAAGATACACCGGGTGGTCGATCGCAAGACTCATTCGCGAATTGAGTATGCGACGCTCTTACCGCTGAGGTTCAACGGTTGTTGCTTCCTGAACCAATTCGAAAACTGACCGATTTTCACTCGATGAAAATTATCGAGCAGTGATGGCCGCGTAGGTCGCGTAGATCTTGAAATGATTTACTTGAGCATTCGTTTTATGTATCTTTGTAAATTGAAAGATGAGGAAAATATGGAAAGTGCGGGGACGGCCTTTACAAATCTGCCCGTATCTACGAGCTTGCAAGTAATAATGCATTTGCGTGATTTATGATAGTACGATGAATTTATACGCATTAAATGCAATGATAATTATTAGATTATTAAATTGTGGTTGCGTTCCGAAAGAAACACCCTGTAAAGGAACGCGTTCTTTATTTATAAACATGCTGCGAGAAGTTGAAATTGCGCCAGACTCATCGAGATACTTTCTTTAGCAGTGTTGGTGCAGCGAAACGAGCGCCGGAGACAACAATTAACGTGTGTCGGCGAGGTCGAAATGTAAAGGCGCGTAGAAATACAGATGACGGTACATATTCGTGCGAGACCGCGAGATTTTGATATTACACGAAGTTAAACGCAGCCTTCCTTCGATTTACGAAGTAATCCACGTAGGTTTCTCACGCGGTTACAAATCTCGTAAGTGGAACTTTGTCAATGTAAAAGAGCAAAGAACGTAAGAGTGAATAAAAAAATTGTTATTCCACATATTTACGCGAAAGTAATAATAATGAAATTTCAGAGGAACCAATTGAAATTGTACTCGTCGCTGTCATTGCTGTACTTCAAAGTACCCAACCTTTTCTTCGTAATTGGTTTGAAAAATTACTATCCTCGGCACTAGTACTGTAACTTCGGGTTCATTATCGATGTGTCTCTTATAAAAAATGAGGTCGCGTAAAACAGTACCGCTACACGGAGCTTTACTTACCGTGTAAAAAAAAGTAACGCGTAAATCGAGGGACGAGTAAATACTCTTTTTATAATAGCAGTGCATCTAAGGCGACTGGCGCGCGTCTCATAAATCATAAGCGGAAAGAAACGAGACAACGAGGCATTTAAAGGTTGTTGAAAAGTTTCAACAACAAGATGGGAAATTAATTAACAGCGCACCGATGAGGCTGAATTAGATGAGGGTTACAAATAGGATACTTACTCGTAAGGGACGCTTCCAGGCAGGTAGCCAATCGAGTCAGAGCGGCGATCAACGGCGGACGAAATTCCTCCAGGAACCTGCCGTCTGGATTAATGGATGTTAATTAAAATTTTGATTACCAATTCATACTATCGCCGCAGCGACGTCGGTTGCTATTAACGTGCATTAGATCGCTTACACTCGGAGTCCCCGTAGATTCGATCGATCGGCACGTCGTCCACGTTCTCGACGAGACCGTCGACTATCTTCTCGACAAATTTTCGGACCGCGTGCACCATGCACCTCGCTTCCCAGTTCTCCGGAATCTGCTCCACGTTCGGGATCGCGGCCGCATGGTCTAAAAGGAGTTAGAGCGCCCTCAAAAATGTACTCCTCACGTTTACAATCGAAACGGTGACTCTACGAGAATATTTTTCTCGCTAAAAAATCAAGTAAGAGCAAACATCATGCACGGGCCGTGCTGCCGGAAGAGCGCGCGTGTTTCGACACTGGCGTTAATGCTGAGTTTACAGGATTATAAAATCGCGAATAACATGTTTGCACCGTTACGGGGATCACGTTTCTTCCGTGTTTAAATGTCACGTTTCGTATACTCGCACTCGATATCGCGGAACTACTCGAAACTTCGCCTTGTCACCGTCATCACGTCGCCTCAAATCGCACAACCCGTCGTCGCGGGACGGGAAGAAAAGTCGCTTTCTAAATCTTGGACCGTACGCCGCTCCGTTAGATCGCTCGCGCTCTTTCCCGATCGAGCGCGTTGATACGATTCACGTGGCGGATCACGCGGTGCGCACCGAACAATGAGCATCACCGTGAGAGACTCTTCGAGCCGTTCTTACTGTTCGGGTCTCCTTCCGTTACGCGACTTCTCTGCCTTCAGGAACAAGGACGGACGTTCGCCGATCGCGGATAGAACGGCGCGTGCAAAGTCGCGTAGAGAAAGAAAGCACGCGTTCGGACGTTCCGGAACACTTGTCACGCCCCATCGTTGCCTTGTCGCGCGAGCCTCAGAAATATTTTGACGTCATAAGAATTTCACTACGGCATTCCTTTACCTGCAACGTGCGCTTTGGCGGTGCCGAAGAATCC